CCTGTGCAAACTGTATGTTAATAGCAAACTAGTGGAAGTTTCTCTTCAGTGAAGCATTCCAATTAATATATTAATAAATGGTAGCATAAGAATCTAATTCTGCAAAATCCTGTCCCCCCCCAAAAGGGGGAACTTAAGCAATGTGACCAAAAAGATAACCAGAATCAGTTGCTTCTACAGGAAAAATACACCATTTATGAAAAAAACTTCCTAAACAAATTGAATTTTCATATGATCTAGACTCTAGATCTAACTACCATCTATGGTATATATGGTAAATGTTGTTAAACTGTACAAGAATGCAAGCAATGAAATACAGACTATATAAAACTCTGTAGGGCAAAAAAATACAGCTTTTCAATAAAAAATTGCAAGAAGAAAAGTGGCAAAAGGAAAAAGATGGAGAAAAAATGGAAATTTAAAAAAGATGTCAGAGATATCAGCCAATTGCAATATACAGACCGTATTTGTTTCTTGTTTTGAATAAACAAACTATAACAATAAGATTTATCAGATAAGTGGGATTTAGACACTATATTTGATGATATGAGCAATTACTATTAATAGTGAGTTTTTAAAATTGTGATAGTGTTATTGTGGTTGCATTTTAAATGAAGTCCTACCTTTCATGCATCAGAATCAATGGAGCCTTATCGAAACAAATTTTGGGGTCTCACATTGAGAAATTTTATTTAGTGTGTCTGGGTGGTTCTTATGTCTCATAAGTTCCCAAATGAGACCAAGGCTTCTGGACCAAGGGCCACACTTTGAGAATCACAGGTTTATAGATAACATGCTGAAATTGTGTGGATAAACCAATAGACTTGGGCTCACTTCATCCCTGGAGAGCAGAGGGTAATGTGGGTGCAAATAAAATAATGTTGTTAACTGATAATTGGATCATGGTGGTTACTTTATGAAGTTTCATTAGATTATTCTTGCTACATGTTTGAAAGTTCCTCAACCAAAAGGTTAAAATGTAAAATACAGGGCTGGGGTTGTGGCTCAGTGGTAGAGCGCTTGCCTGGCATATGTAAGGCACTGGGTTTGATTCTCAGCACCTCATATAAACAAATAAAATAAAGGTCCATTGACAACCAAAAAAAATATTTTTTAAAAATGTAAAATGTAAAATTGTATAAAATATTTAAATGATAAGCATTAATATTCAGTGAATTGTTTGAAGCATATATTTAAATTACATATCATGTATAGTATCTTTGGGAATTTTTTTTTTAATTCTACATTTCTTTAAAAACTATGTATCAAACTTTTCACCGGCTTTTTTCTCACAGTTGTCTTCATTATCAACAATGTCCTTTTTTGAGCCATTTGACAGCTTTCTAGAACACATCAGGGGCTTGGTCTAAGTTGTTTAAGAAACCAAACTTCAAGTCTGCATTTGATGCTTTTTCTGGAATTTCCTCTCAAGCCACAGCATATTTCTCACAATATTAAGACAATTAGCAGTTGTGCTCTCTTGTCTTAGAGGATCAGAATTCATAACTTCCATAATGTAACCACTTAAAAATTGTTCTACTAGGAGCAATATTTAAAAGATTTGTTTACACTTCCAACATTTGCAAGTTTCAACACCGCCAAGGAGAGTTAGTAAATGTGTGTTAATTTTTATGCTTTGTTTGTACCAATTATTTTAAGCCAGTATCACAATACTATTATTAATCAAAGTCACTTCAGGCTATTTTGTCATCCCCCAAGCAGTATTTTGTGATTCAAGTAAACCAAATGAAAGAAGCCCGTATATCAGAAATTTGTAGGCGCTCTGGCAGCTCCCAAGGTCAGATGAATCTTGATCAGAATTTCCCATTTCATCTTCTTTGACACTTTAGGGACACTCTTATTTTTTTAAAAAAAAAACAGCAGTTCAGTCCAGGGTGATTTATATTAGTAAAGGGAGAAATCTGATGGTGCAACCAGGCACTAGTAGCGCCAATGGCTTGTCACTGTTTCATGACACTGTCTCTCTATTCATTCAACAGACTCAGCACTGGTTTTGATGCTGGGGTTCAGCAGGATACAAGAGAGAGTGTTGGCCCATGTGGAGATCATATTACTGGAGGGGCATACACTTCAAAAATAGTATCAAATATAGTCTGGGAATTTACAAAATATTTAAAGTACACAACACTCATTCTTAACAATACCTGTGAGAGTGAAATGCATGTTCCTTTTTCTGTAGGTGAGAATATAACATTTAGTTTGTGATATCTAGGCCAAAAGACCTATGAGGACAGGAACCATGGGTGCCTTGTTCACCTGTTTCTAGAGTGCCAAGGATAAAGGTGCTCTCACTTCTGGTGTTTAAATGAAAGCAAAGAAGGCTAACAGGCACCTTGACTCTGTTGGAACTATGAAATATAGACATCTGTCTGTATCGCTTGGTTCCAGGACCCCTAAGGGTACCAAAATCTAAAGATGCTCAAGTCTTTTATATAAAATGGCATGGTACATCCTTATATCCTCTCATATACTTTAAATCATCTCTAGATTACTTGAAATGTCTAATAACATGTCAATGCTATGTAAACTGTTGTTCTATTGTATCATTTAGAAAATGACAAGAAAAAAAGGTCTGCACACATTCAGTATAGATGCAACTATTTTCCCTATGACATTCATTGAATCTGAGAATGGGGAACTAGTAGATACACAAGGGTTTTCTGTATGTATATAAATACCAAAAAAATGGGAATATTTTATGTTGCAAATAATTTGCAAAGAAAAATACTGCACCCAGAACAATATGTCTGAAAGACCTAACTAAATATTTCAACAGAGTGAAATTTCTCTGTGAACTAAATATTAAATTTCTCTTATTTTAGGGCAGTAGTAAAAAAAACAAGAAGCAGATCTTGTCTGCAAAATTTACTGGGAGGGAATGTTGGGCACACTTACCTAGTCATTGCTCTGCTAAAACCATTTCCATGGTCCCCCATTGCCCTCAGAATAAAGCATAGAGGCTGATTCACTGCCTCTTTCCTGCCTCCCTCTCCAGCCTTATCTTTTGCCTTTTCCAAAAATTTATGCTCTGGAAGCATCCGTCTCTCTCTCTCTCTCTCTCTCTCTCTCTCACATGCATGGGTGTACCTTTGAAGTTTTCTATATCAGTTCCCTTTTTCTGTCACCTTCATTCTTCTCCCTTTCTCTCTCCATTCGTTTTTATCTAGATGTAACTTACTTTTCAAGCCTGGACTTAGGTGTCAGTCCCTCTGGAAGGTTAGGTGGGCATTTGGACCATTGCAATAGTGGCCTACCACCCCCATATGCTTGCTGTGCCTTCCTCTCTCTCAAGCTCTAAGGGCAGGGGTAAGTCTGGTTTTCTTCTCTCAGGCCTACCACAGTGCCTTGACCAGACTAGGCAAGTCATAGATATTTCTTAAATGAAGGAATAAAATTATTTAACTTCTGCAAACCTCAGCTTTCCTAATGTAAAGAGGATTTAAAATACCTACCTCATATTAAATTAAATGGCATTAGTGAAGCCCCCACATCATGCCTTATACAGAGTATAGGTCAAATAAATAGCTTGCTATTTTTACGTGTCCTCTAGGACCCTCGGTCATCCGAGACCACTTTGAAAGCCTCTTGGTTTTTCTTTAAAATACTTCATAACTACTAAGCCCTTGTTGGCTGCTATTCATCTTGAAAGGTTGTTCAGCATGACTATCAATTGTGTACAGATAATTGTTTTCAGTTCTTCAAATCTTGTCACCTTTCAGTGGCCTGATACTAAAAAATAACCACGTGTCTCAATTTTTACTCAGTATTTTGTTTTAATCACATCTAATAAACTGACAGACATGAGGACAACTGCCTTTGAAGAAAGAGTTAATCACTTACATTTCCCAAGAGAAGGGGTCATACCCACCCCATGAGGGTCACGTGGGGAAGCACAGAGCGGGAAGGTGAAAGGACAATATAGGAAAAGCCACAGAATTTGGTGAGGTTTCTGTAGGAAAAGCAAGGCAGAGCAGGGGAACAGCTTTGTACTGGCCGGTCAGAATAATTCCCTCAGGCTATGGGACATAAAGTTGGTTTCTATTTGTCTAGAACCTGGTCCTGGGTGGATTTGGGGCAGAATAAATAATGGCTTAGTATGTGAAAGTTAGATAAAGGGAGCATTTGGGGGTTTGAACTCAGAATTGGTTGGTTTGTATGAGTGAAAGATGTGTTTGCAAGAGAGTTGTTTACCGTCTCTAGGAATCACCCAGCCCTGGGAAGAGCAGTCTTCCCTAAGTGGCAGAGTCCCTTATCCTAAGATGTCAAACCATCATAAAATGCAGACAGTTAAAAAAAATTGGTTCATACACTATGCTCTATGGCAACATGCAATGGGACTTTTATTCTTGACCCCAGTTTGATTATTATTCTATGGTAACCTTTAATAACATTGCTCACGGGCTGTAATATTCTTGGCTTTTTAATCTCTTCCATTCTTGACAAAGCTCACAATTTCCATTGCAGCTCTTCCTGAACCTGCTAATTTAAACAGCCTAAGGATGCTCTTATCAATAAATACTCCACATTTGCCTACAAACACTTTATGTTTTACCTTTTTTTTTTTTAGGTCTGCCACAGACACTTTTCTTGTACAAATGAGACAGTATCTAATTGTTAACATATTTGTCAAACATGTGTTAATTGCCTGTTTGCTGAAATGTGTGTCATTGCAAGCTTTCTTCATTGGGGATTTAATTTATTTAGAATCAGGATTGTGTTTAAAGGAGCTGTTTGTCTTACATTCTCCCTTCTTTCCTCTCTCCCCAACCTGTCTTTCCTTGCTTCCATTTGTCTTCTTTTTTTTTAAGAGAGAGAGAGAGAGAGAAAGAATTTTTTAATATTTTTTATTTTTAGTTTTCGGCGGAACACTACATCTTTGTTTATATGTGGTGCTGAGGATCGAACCCAAGCCGCACGCATGCCAGGCGAGCGTGCTACCACTTGAGCCACATCCTCAGCCCTTGTCTTTCTTCTTTAAGTTTCCTCATCAGGCCCACTGCAGCTCTGTACCATCTGGAGACCAGTCACTATCCTACATGCATGGCCTCCCCAGGAGAAATCTTAGAGACCAGTCCTTGGAGCAGTTGGTGAGGGGTGGCCCCAGCCAACCTGAGGTATGTACTCAGAGTTGTCAAGTTGTTTCCTACTGTAAATGAACAGGTATTATTTGTTGTCTGTATATCTTTAAAAAAAAGCCACTTTTTTTTTAGTTGTAGATGGACACGATACCTTTATTTTATGTATTTATTTTTATGTGGTACTGAGGATCGAACCCAGTGCCTCACACATGCTAGGTAAGTGCTCTACCATTGAGCCACCACCCCAGCCCCTTTTCTGTATACTTAATGTGGAGCAGATGATAACACAGTCTGAGGATGGACCGATGGATACTAAACTCCATATGTCCAGATGGCTTTCTGGGAAACATCCTTGATGAGTTTACAGGCCAACCCTACAGATCTAACTGAATTCATCATCTTCCTGTCCCTGACCTACCTTCCTTCCAGAGATTTCTAGGATTGAAGGGCCATTGTGCTCCCAATTAACTGAGTCAGGATCTGGGCTTCATCCTTGGTCTAAACCCCGGCCCTAAACTTCCCCATCCAATGAGTCTATAAGATAGATTATCCTAATTCTTATGCAATTAAAGAAGAATTTTATTTTGTAAAAGACAGATGGTGGATGTTAAGGAGCCATGTGTACTCTAAGAAGATCTGCTTCCTTTTTTCTCCTGAAGGAATAGACCTGAGGCATGGTACACTAATGACAACACAGCTTGGATACTCGCCCTCTGGAGTGACCCTGTGATTCCAGCCCCTGTGCACTTTTGCATCCTTGTCTGGGCTTTTCACCATCTTGTATTAAAGCCATGTTCATTCCTTTTCTCATCATTGTGTTAGGATATCGTCCAGAGGCCCAGTGGAACAACAAAAGAAGATTCTTTTCTTCTTGCCCTGGTCAGAAAGGAACTCAAGTCACACCCTCTGAGCTCCAGATTGTTAGACAAAATTCAGAAAGAGCTGACAAACCTGGACCCAATCTCTTCAGGGTTTCTCCTTCAGTCTCAGCTGAGCCACCTCTTCCTGAGGCATGGAGTCCCTCTGCAATTGCCAACAGTCAAGATCCTTTGCCAGAGATGTTCTAGGAAGGGCTCTCCTGAAATGGTATGGCCACTATTCTAAGTGTGGATGTCTTTTATGTCTCTTATTTGTACCCACCGGGTAATAGAATTAAGAAGTTGTGTTTTTTTTTTCCTTGAAAACAACCTTTTCTATGGACACTGTGTTAGTTAGGTTTTCATCCCTATGACCAAAATACCTGTCAAGAACTACTTGGAGGAGGAAAAGTTTATTCTGGGTTCATGATTTCAGAGGTGAAGTCCATGGTTGGCCACTCCATTGCTCCGAGCCAGAAGTGAGGCAGCACAGTGTGGTGAAAGAGCATGGCGATGGAGAGCGACTCCACTTCAGCACCCAGGAAGCAAAGAGAGAAATGGGAAGATGGCAAAGGAAAGATGAACCCTCTCATGGCAGGCCCCCAGTGACCCACCTTCTCCAGCCGTGCCCTACCTGCCTACAGTTTCCACCCAGTTAGTCCAGCCAAACTAGAGTGGACTGATTAGGTTACAGCTCTCATGATCAAATCATTTCACCTCTGAATATTTCTGCATTAACATAGGAGTCTTGGGATTACTCTTCATAGCCACACCATAAAAGATGTCTAAGCTTACTTATATTCATGTGGAAATTTCTAGTTAGAACAGACAGGAATAGAAAATAGATGTAGGGTTCTTACCTCTGTTTAATTTCTCTTGAAATTGGTATCCTGTCCTAAATTTTACCGTCTGCTTTCAACACCACGAGGGTGGTTCATGATGATGGGCCCTCTTGAGTCTAGTAATGCGCTCTTTCAGTCAGAACAGAGAAATTGGCAAAGATCTCCTGTTTGTTGGGACAAGTCCTTAGACTGAGAGAGGTAGGGGATATCTTTGAAATATGATTTACCACCACCTGCTGTGACCCACACAACCATTAATTAGAAACTGGTAGGAGCCATGGAGGATTTAGAAATACAAAAAATTGTAAACCCAGTGGCTTGGGAAGCTGAGACAGGAAGATTATGAGTTCAAAGCCAGATTTAGCAAAAGTGAGTTGCTAAGCAACTCAGAGAGACCCTGTCTCTAAATAAAATACAAAAAATAGGACTGGGGATGTGGCTCAGTGGTCAAGTGCCCCTGAGTTCAATCCCAGGTACCCCCACATTGTCCTCCAATGGAGAAACAATGACCCAGAGCTACTATAGCATGTTTATTATATAGATTTTCTCATCAAGAGGTTATTTGTGGAGTTTCTGCAAAGCAGACAGTCTTGAAGGTCAGAATCACTTGTGAGACTTTGTGGTTATTTGACTATGCCCAGAATTCTCTACCCTCAGCAGCTAATGCCTAAGCTCAAGGTCCAGACTGATATAGTGCCTTGCCTTTGCACAGAGCCTCCTCAAGAAAGGCATCATCATAGCAACTGGACAATCTTGATCTGCACCTTTGCACAGGAAGTTCCCAGGGCAGAGGCAGCCACAAGGCAGTCAGAGACCATAATCCAAGTCACTGCTCTCCACAATCACCATTTTACAGATTAGAAAACTGATGCCAAGAGGTTGCCAAGGACTTGGCTCAGGACACTCAAGAATTAATGGCAGAGCTGAGACACAAGCTCTCCAACAAGGCCAAAGTTCTTTGGATACTGCACATCTCTGGGCACTGAGCCTGAACTCACACTTGTAGCAGAATATAATGTGGTCTAAATATAACCAAGTTCCCAGAACCACAGGAAAATATCCACAAGAAGAACTAATAGCCATGAACAAATCATTAGTGAGTATGTATGAATAGCAAGCCTTGTTTCTGAAGAACAAACCTCAGAAACCAGGACTTTAATCCTAGTTCCATCTTTATCTCTGTCCCATGGGGTTCATTCTACTTAATGTCCCTTATGTCTCAGTGATACCATCTGGAAAGCCAGGTCAAAACCAACCTCATAGATGTTGACTCAAGATTTAGTGACAGGATAAATGCAAATTTGTGGTCCCATGTCCAGCATTTAGGGCATACTCAAATGTTAGTGCTCTCTTCTCTAACCTCCCCAAGTGAAATCTCTGAATATTTATGAGTTATTTAGCAATACAATGTCAAATTATTATACAAAGTATATATGAAACTTTCTGGCTAACACCTAGTTTATATATAGCTTCCTTCCTTCACTGCTACCCTCCAATTCCTTAGAGTCACCTACAGACCAGAGCTCCTAGGATCCCATCCAGACCAGCAGTGGACATGGGTGACATTCCCTCAGTCCTTTCCTATGTAGAAAAGTAATTTTGAGATTTTTTTCACCTAGGCTAATAGATTCTTATCCTTATAAAAGCTGAATTCATCTAAACATAAGCATGCATTCTATATGCTAAATATGTTAGGGATGTGAGAGGGAGACCGAGAGAGGCTAGAGTCAAATGTTTATTTTTTAATCCACATTACATTTCCATAACAAGTCAACCATAGGCCCTTCTCCTCACTATCTTAGCTACAGGACCCAGGCTGATGGAACAGCCACTTTGGAATATTTTTGGAAATGATAGAAGAGAGGAGGGAAAAAGTGAGCTCCAACGGGTCTCATGGCAACAGTTCAATCCTCCACCCAAAGTGGCACTTGTCACCTCTGCTCATAAGACATTAGCCAGAACTAGTCACACGGCCCTACCCAAACACAAGGCAACCAGGAAGTAGAATTTTACATTTTGTACAGAGGGATAATAATATTTGATTTTAAAAGACACTAACTCTTATATTTCTATTTTTAAACAATTTTTAAAAACTATAAATATAAAAAGTTTCCAAATACATTTTATTTCAGCAGGGTTTTTTTCCCTTCATATAGAGTAAATGAGGCTGTTCTTATACTTAATTTTCAGGTGAATTATGAAAAGCTACTCTGGTTTTTAAAAAGTGCAGCCTCAGATGACTTACAGCAAAGCAAAACAGTTGTGGACAGCAACCTGAAGAAAACTCAGAGTCAAAGTGATCCTAAGCAAAGGTATTTCCTCCCTTTTCCTGGGCCCATTGTTCTGATGTATCTCAGTCAATTCAGGCTGCAGTCGTGGAGTACCACAGATTGGCTGGCTTATAAAGTACTGACATTATTTCTCATCGTTCTGGAGTCTGGACGTTTAAGACTAGTGTGCCTGCCTATGATTAGTGGTCCAGTTCTGGTGAGAGTCCTCTTCCAGGTTGCAGACAGCTAACTCTTTCCTGCATCCTTATTGGCAGGAAGAATGTGAGCCCTCTCTAGCCCCTTCTTATAAGGGCATTGATCCCATTCCTGAGGGCTCAACCCTCAGGACCAGATCACCTCCCAAAGCCCCACCTCCTGGTACCATCATGCTGGGATTAGGGTTTCAACATTTGAACTTTGTTGGGAGAAACATCCAGTCCATTGCACTAGACTTCTAGAGCTGGCAGGGATCTTGGAGGCATTCACTCTAAAATATTCCCAATGCAAAATCACTTTGCTCTTCACCAACACTTGGCTTATGCATATAATTTTTTTTCTCCTTCTCTTGTATGCAGGCCAGCATAGAAAGTTATTTGTAGCAATTGCATATGTTTCTTAACACCAAGCATGTGTCTTTTTATGAGGTTGTTGTGTGAAAATGAAAAACCTCATTATGAAATAAGAAATGATTGTGTATGGGTGCAGAGCTCATCTATAACATATGATTCCAGAAATAGGTTCTGTCTGTGAACCTCTGGGTTACAGGCACTAGCTAATGGTTGAAATATAGAAATCAGTAATACCTTCACATAATCTTAAGGAAAAGAAGTGACTGAAATTTTCAAAAAGGTTGTGAGAAATATAATTATAAATGCAGCACACCAAAGTATGATATTCTGCACAAAGAAAAGTGACAAAGTGCAGTCGGTAGGAACATGAGCTCCACGGCCAGAAAGCTGAGTTGAACTTCTGTCTCTGCCATTAGTAACTGTTTGGCCTTGGCATTCACTTAACCTCTCTGTGCTTCCATTCTGTAATAGGAGAATAAGAATAGACCTTTGTTGATTTGTAACAGTACCTGAGTTAATAAATGCAAAGTTCTTAAAAACAGTGCCTAATACACAGTCAGTGCAATATAGGTGTTTTTTATTACTTTTAAACTTCCCTCCAGACAACCTTCTGTCAGTTACAAACAATGTGACTTTTTTTGGAAAAATGTCCCTGGGCCAAGCATTAGAATTGATTCCTCTCTACAGGGTGCCACTTTTGACCATGATTCTTTATTTAACAAAGACTTATAGGATAACAGCTGATTGTCAAGTCCATTTTTCTGGCCCAGTCAATTCCAAAGTTAGCAAGTTCATAATCCACAGAAAATGGATACTCTGCCTGAGTACTGCAGTCCAGTATAGTTCTGGAAGCAACTGACCTACTGGGAGCCATAAGCCTTAGAGATTTTTTAAAATAAGTGCTCTCCCTTCATGTAATACAGATTGTAAAATCATGGTCCTAAGAGGTTATTCACTATGTAGATGAACATATGGCCATTCATTTATAGAAATTGAGCCTTTTAGTTCTAGAAAGGAAGCCTTTTCTGACCCCTGAACTAGGTTCTATCTCTTTGTTTTATCATCCCATAGGCTTCCCCTTCATAACAGTCATTGCATTTATAAATATTCATTTGAAGATAGGAATGGTGTCTGTCCTCGTGAACTATCTTAATCCTAACATAGTTCGTGGCATATAAGAGGTGCTCAATAAACATTTGTTAAATGTAATTGGCATCTTCAATTATCTGAAGAGCTTACATCACTAGGCTTGCAGGGACATGTGCATATCTGCTCTATTTTTAAAAAGTGCATTAAATCATTTTGAGCACATCAGAGAAGGCACTGCTTTATATGGACCAGAGAGTGTGTCTATAGAAACATGGGACTGATGGGCTGATGTAATGAAGCCCAGCTCTTTGATAATGAACACGCTATGCAAGAAAACAAACTCTCCATAGTTTGTCAGATAGAGGCTCTAATGGAGTAGCTCTGTGATGGGGCAGCAATAGCCCTCATTGCCTAAAATAGATCAAAGGAAATACATCCAGCAACACACTTTCCAAGAAACCCTATCAGCTGCAGTAAGTGGGTTCCACACAACATCTACCCACTAAGTACTGAGCCAGGGTCAAAGCCTTATGAATTCCTACTCCCAGGAGCTGGTGTTGCCAACAAAGAAGAAGGAAACTACGGATTCAAATCTTGAACAGACATTCCTACTGGCAGAGTCTGGGTCATGTGCCCTAGTGTAGAGAGTGGCTAGTAACGCAAATACCAATATTCTCTTGCTAGAATGAGACAGACTGTGTTGGGAGCTTGGAACTTCCTGAACAAGGGAAGGAGAGGCGAAAGCTGCTGACCAAACCAAAGACACATGTCCACCATTCCTTTCCTGGACCAAACGTTTGGAAAATATTACATATTATTAAGTAGTTCAGAATCATATAATTTGGGGCCAAAGCTCCTCTAAGAATAATAGAGGGGGAAAAAGTGTAAAATATGACTTTTAGAAAAAAAATTATATACATCTAAAACTAATCAATTCCATGTACTGCTCAAAATCCCTGGGAAATAGTAAGGAACAAATCAGACTTGAACTTATGGAGCAGCCAATCAGGGAAATAAGATTTGAAACACTAAGGAATAGACCTGTGATCTGAAGGGAGACCTATTAAGATATGAAAGGGTATATCTAGCACAGATACCCTAGGGCAAAGCATGGGGCCTGATTATGCACACACCACTTCCCAACTCTTCATTCAAAGATGTCACCTTGTTATGTTAAAACCAGCCAATAACAGAAGTATTTATACCATGGAAATTGGTAACGCTACAAATCAGGGCTTTATCTTGAAGGCTTGGTTAAGGATTTACCAGCACACCACTGAAAGGAACATGATTCAAATGAGTGGCGTTTGGGGGAGATCATAGAATGTCCCTTTAGGAAACTGGCATTTAAGTTGAGACAGTGTACATCAGGAAAAGCTTCACAAAGAAGACAACAGTTCAGCTGAATCTGGAGGAACAAATAAATCTGAATGTTAGGTGAGTAAAGATCTCAAATTAGTTCACAATACAAATGACTATAAAGTTTTATCTTTATTACTTTTCACCCATTATTTAAAGCAAAAATAACTTGATAAACCATCTTAATAATTATATACATTTGCATGCCAGATTATAAATAAATGATTACTCCCAAAATATTTCTGGGTTTCCCAGATCTAAAAAGCAGAGTCAAAGACAATGCAGACATTCTCCTGATTTGGGATTTCCTCCTGTGTAGGTTCCCTGTTACAGGGATTTGGCAGCATCTGCTTTGCCTTGCTCTGCTAGTAGCAATAAACAGTGTGGAAATTTGATTTGCCATCAATAGTTATCTGAGTTTAAGAAAAGTAAGATCAATTAGGAAAACTACTACAATCATTTGTTTTTCTCTCCATTTGGGAAAAAGAGGAGGTTGATTTAAGAATCTCAGTCTATATTGCAGTCAGATTGGTTGGTGCCTCATGGGAAGAAGCTCTAGAGCTTAGTCCGATGAGGCAGGTTTTAGTTAATCTGTAAAATTTTCACTTGCAGTCCCATGACCAGGTCACCAAATATTTAGGATGTAGCCCATGGGTTCTTGGGGATCCACGGTGGGTAACAGAGTTGAGAGACACAGTATGGAAACACATAGCTACTTCAAATGCATCTTCTTTTCATAGCCTTTCCTCTGCCCCTCCAATAAGAACCCCACCTCAAGACTCCAGCTCACCATCAGAAGAGGACAAGAGCCTGTTGGAGATTTTGAGGATGGTACTAAGGACAACCAATGGCAAACTCAACATAGAGAATCTCAACTTGAGTTTTCGAAAAGAAGACCGTTCATTTTCTGGCTGTCTCCCCCCAGCCAAGGTAACCAAAATTACATTTCAGATTTTTTCAGCTAAAGGCAACTTCAGAACATTGAGTCTTCAAAAATAAGGAGTAGTTATGATCTCTATTCTGCCTGTGAATGACATTACACAATTGTTTTTTATGCTTGTGAGGAGAAAAACAAAATACAAAAGGAATTATGAAATGTGCAGAATTGGTCCAGGAATTACTTATAATTGGGCTGTCTTATGTTAATAATAGAAAATATGACAATATCCACAATGGAAAACAATATTTTCAAGGCCAAATTCATTTCTCACATGCTCTCCCAGCTTCCAGTAAAATCAGCATGTGGTGTCTCATTCCTTAGGAACACCATATTTTAGGGACTGATGTAATTTATTGCTGATAGAGGTTAGCATGCTGCTTTGGAGCATTAATTAACAGTGCAGATGTGTTTCATGAAAGAAGATCCAGAACCATATTAATTCATGGATATTTGGTAGCCAGATGTACCCAAAACTACCTTAGATACAGGTAAAATAATCATTGCCATTGTTTTAAAAATACCTCATCACCATCACAAATTACTGAATTACTGAATTCTTATAAGAACCTTGCAAAATGCATTACTTACATGATCTCATATAACACTGAAAAAGTTTATTCCTTATAAAATACCACAAAGGTAAACATTATCCTCCCATTTAGTAAATGAGTCGTGAAGAGGTCAACTCCAATTAAGGGCCAGGTACAAGAGGTGGAGCCAGGATTCCAAGTAGAAGAGTTCTGGAAATAGAGAGCCAGAACTGAAAGTCTCCTAGGTAGAAAGTGTCCATTGAATCCAATAGACAAGATTAGAATTTTACAGGATTGGAAAAGGGTGGAAATGACAGCTGGGGAAATGTTCGGTTAGAAAATCAGCATATACCTTTCATCTAGGTATACTGAGGTTTAAAAATGATGTTTACTAAGGAAGCAAGGATACAAGATGCTGAAGGAAGTTCTTATTCTATAACCAAAAACAGCTTCCTCGGAGCCTTCAGATGTAGAGTTAACTGTGCAAAAGCAAAGCTTATATTAACGTCAATGTGTGTGTGTGTGTGTGTGTGTGTGCATGTGTGTTATACATGCAACATATTTCACTAGAAGGAGAAAGAAGAGTGCTGGAGAGTGTGAGACTGCCCATCATAAATAACTTTTACTGTGTTCATGAGAGAATCTTTAGAAACAGACTAAGAAGCAGAAATTCTTTTTTTAGATTTGAAACCACAAAATACCATTGATGAACCTGAATGCCCTCAAATGATACTCACAGAACGGAACATAAACAGCTTGACAATTAAAATGCATTTACTTAATCTCCTTGAGTCTCATTTTTTTTTTCATTTGGAAACAATGGGTTCCAAATAGCTACCTCCTGTGTCTATTCTGAGGATTAAATGAAGTAAATATGTGAAAGTATTTAGCATACTACCTGACATACCAGGCTCTGAATATTAGCTTCCTTTCCCTCTTATATTAAAAATAGATATTTTTGTGAGAATTTCACTTCAAAACAGCCTATAGGAAGAGGGGCCTCTCATGGTCTGGTGATGGTCACTTCCAACACTGGCTATGGGGGAAGAGCTTGAGTGTTCTTATTCCCCAAAAGCTCAATCTTGTGGTTTAGATCCAAAGTAATGGGGCACACTTTCTTGAAGCAGTTCTGCCTTTCATGAGCCATCTGGCATCTCTTAAGACATCTGGAATTCACTCAAAGTCTACTACAGTTCTGGGAGGCATGGAAAATAGAATTTTGTTTCCTCAAAATGTGAGGCAAATTGAGGCCCAAGGGAAGCAGCAGCCACACCACACTTCCTTGCTCCTGAATGCAGGACTTCAGAGTAGAATGGGAAAGGCCATATCTGAACTAGAGAGCTTTGTCCTTTTGACTAGTAGTTCTTAACCTTAGAGTATAGAAGACAGATCTGTGAACCTTCTTGATTATCTCATGAAAGCTGTGTGCTTTCTATCCAGGAAAATAAAAATATATATTTAAAAATAAGCATATCCAAACAGCCACTATTTCAAAGGGTTCTCAGACCATCTATGGCTTCAAAGATAAATAAACACTGCCTTCAAGGATAATCCCTAGGTCTTGTCATCAAATCCATGAATTTTGACCAGGCACAAAGAACAGAATGGAAACTGATCCAGTATCTGTCATCTTCGTTCTCTGGACCCACTCTTCCTATTCCTCTTGCACTTTTTTGATATAGTGATGATTTTTGGTGGGACTGCTAATACAATACGGATCCACATATATTTGTTTACCAACCACCTACATTACCCAAGTCAAGTGTAGATTCAATAGGACTGTAGAACCTAAGAAGTTCCTATGTGTTCAGGCTCCATTTAACCCTTTACACATAACCCACATTCTTCACCACTTGAACTCGTCCTCATTCTGCTTCACATCAGGAGCCCTTCCCAAGCTCCTGCCAGACCTTCCTCTCAGGAAGAACTCGCTGGAGCACAGGCCACTCATCTCTTAGTACTCTCGGCTTCAAGTTCATGTAGCTTCTTCACTGTTATCAGGAGGGAATTTTTTACTGAGCTGACCAAGGTTTGTAGATGTGAAATTCATTCTTGTGGTAGGGCTTTAGCTGGAACACTAATTTACCTAGTGAGCCAGGACCATCAGACCTTCTGCAGTTCGTCAGGCCCCTTTTTCCATACTTAGTTGTTTCAATATCTGTGCATCTCCCCTAAAACAGTCAAAGCGAAGATTCCTATTAATTCTGAATCACTGCCCTCCTCCAATGCAATAGGCATCTTTCCAATCAATAAGGTATATTTAATCTATTCTTGCATTTAACATGATACTCCCTCCATGTGTTCTAGGCACTGAGGATGATGGGTTGTATTATTTCAGTTCCTTCTTTCTCCAGGAGTGTAGGGAAAAATCAACATGTCATCACAATTCTGCAATAAACACAGTGGTAGCGCAGACTTTAAAGATAGAGAAAGTGCACCAATGTATCCTGGCCTGAAAGCCCACAATGGAGATGATGCAAATACTGAATCTTAGAGGACAGACGAGTTTGGCAAAGATTGGGGGTAAGGATAATATGGGGCAAGAGAAGAGAGCAGAAAGGTATTCTGGGAGAAAGGAACCATGTGAAATAGCACTGGCACAAGGGCTAATTCAGGGACTGCTGTAAGTCCCTGCTCAAATTGTTATTAGAATGGAAAGCAGGAGCCAGTGTGAGAAGGGTCTTTCTGATGAGTGTGAATTTTATCCTAAAGGTCCAAAGTAATCAGGGAAGGATATTAAATTAGTGCATGGTGCGATCGAATTTGAAATTTTAAAAAAGAGCATCCTGATATTATTTGGAGAATTAGTTAGAGGCGGACAATATTAGAAGCTGAGAGACCCTTTTTGAAGGCCACTTCAATGATCCAGCAAGAGATTCTGAGGGTTGAAACTAAGGCACTAATAAGAGGGATCGAGGTAAAAGAAGATAGAAAAGCAGGTCCTGGTGTCTAATTGAATGAAAGCTCTGGATTAGGAGGAATTAAAATGATTCCTAAGTCATTAGCTTGGCAGCTGATTGAATGGTGGTGCCATTCTCTGAGAAGAGGAATCAGAAAATGAGTAATCTGGAGGGGTACAGGATGGATTGATGAGTTCAACCTGGCCCAGGTAGATCAGTAGAGGCTGAAGCTGAATAATGTTTTAAGACACTTCCATAAGGAGTGGAAGCCATGGGCATAGTTAAGATTACTCAAGGACATAATGGAATGTGAGAAAGGAAGGGGGTCAAGAAACATATGCGTTGTTAAAGAGTAGGTAGCCAAAAAGAAGTCAATAAGAGAGACTAAAAATAACAAAAGGAGATAGGGGAGTGATCAATAAAGCCAAAGGAGAAAAGAGTTTTGGGGGAGTATGACATGATTATCCCAGACTCACACCCACACTACAAAGATATCTTTATAACTAGTACTATAAAGAATTTGTAGGCAGGCCCATGGCACTTGCCTGTAATCCCAGCTACTGGGGAGGCTGAGGCAGGAGGATAGCAAGTTCAATGCCAGCCCAGCAACTTAGTGAGACCCTGTCTTAAAATAAAAAAATTAAAAGGACTGTAGATATAGTTCAGGGGTAAAGCACCTCGGGTTCAATCCCCAGTACCAAAAAATTTAAAAAATTGTAAAATGTAAACTCATAGAAGTTTCTATTAACTTGGTAAACAGAATTAAGTATAGCAGTTGGGTAAAGGGAAATGGAACTACTCATAGGAAAAGAGGGAGTCATGACAGTATGTACCACTCTTTCAAGCAGTATTTTGAGGAAATGTTTAGTCATCTCATATCTTTTTTTTTAAGTAGCAGCTATTTTATTTACTTCTAACTGAAAACATTTCCTAGTAAGCAGAAGAACATTTTCTTCCTAAGGGTCATCATTATGAATATTAATGCTTTGAAATATTTTAATAATCGTCCTGAATAACACTAAATGACAAGGCTTTTCTGGTAGATGTTTCTGTTTCTCCTCTTCAACTGTCAGCAGTCAGTTCTTAGTAGCTGTCAATCAATCTGTTTCCAGGAACATTAATGTACCATTTCTAATCTTCTGTTCATTTTAGCCAAGAGCAAAACTTAGTGTTACCAGAAGTGAGTGATCTGTTTTTAGAATAACCTCTTAATGTCGATGTTTAAAAATACATCAATATGTGCTAATCATGTGGATTATTTTGTTCTTATTTATGGAGTCAAATGGCATAATGCAACCAACTTCTACCTCTTTTTGTTTTGTGCCAACCTCCACCCACACACACTCCACTCTCCAGTGACTTCGACTCATTCATCTGCCCACTCATTCATCCATGTATTAAATTGTTGATCCTTTATTTTTTAAAATTGTGCTAGGCAATGGTGATAAGAAAATGAATGAAACACAGGTCAAGCACTGATTAAGCCACTGTCATGTAAGAAAGCACAGCAAGTAACAAAAAATTACTGCCTACACAGGAAAAGGATGTGCCGCAGTCTGGCTGGGCACACAATCAGGAGCCACCACACAGCTTGTAGATTCAAACAGCAACTCTTTATTCCCGAACTCACACCAGCCGTCTACAATCACGTTCTGGGGAAATCCACGTTCTCTGCCCACATCCACTCCACTGGGCTTCTATCTCCCAAAAATACACTGTCTGGATCCCGTGAGAACTCAAGGGGAACTCAGGCAGCAGGATACGCCCTATTCCCAGGAGGAATAATCTTAAACCTTAAACCTGGAACCTAAACTGGGAACGCCCTAATCCGCCTTGGTCCTTGAACAAGGTCACCTACATTCAATGTCACTGCAACATGGGGTACGCTGGCAAGGAAATTGTCATACCTACTTGGCTAATGGCTCCCAGCAAGGATGCAAAACCACACTAGATTGGGTAACGTCAAAACTCATACCTTCCCCGGTAGCACCAAGTTTGTTTTTACCCATTATTTACACTTGCTTTTCCTCTGCCTAGAATTCTCCCCAACTCCTTATTCTTTAGGTAAACTCTGTTCATTTTTTTCGTGTTTCAAAACAATCTTTATTTTTCTCTTTTCAGCTTCCCCGACTTTATTCCTCTGTACCTAAAAAGTAATAGACACAAGCTTCAAATGCAGATTTGGTGTCTTTCCTTTTATAGCAACAAGTGAAGATGGACTTTTGGTGACTGGTTGTTCATTTGTTTTCTAGTTCTGTGGATTGAACCCAGGGTCTCCTGCATGCTAGGCAAATGCTCTACCATTGAGCTACTCCCCACTGTTTTAAAATGAAGGTTTTATTACTATTTTGTTATGGTGAGACCAGCATATCAGGAGACAGTTGTCACTGAAAAGATGGTTTATTTCTTGAAGTTTCTACAAGGAGGAGGCCTGCTGCACCACACAGAGAAACAACAGGGCAGGCAGCAGGCAGTGGGGGTAAGAGGGGAAATGTGGACAAGAGCTTTTGTTGTGTTTTTCTCAAGAATAATGAGCAAAGCAGGGCAAGCAGGTTTAGGATTGGATAGTTTGGAGAACTTCAGGGGACTTTGGGACATTAGAGGCTGTCCCTAGTTCCCTGGTACCTAGGCCTCAGGTAATTAGGGGGAGAAATAGTGGTCCTGTGAGAGCCCTTTGGTTTGCATCTGAAAATCTTACTTTTAGCTGAGTTCTTTTCTCTCTAGAAATTGTCCAGCCTTAAGAATGACAAGCTCTTTAGAGTCAATAAGGGCTCAGGGTTTCAAAGCAAAAAAAAAAAAAAAAAAAAAAAACAGAAGATACACTTACTATACTCATTGTACTGAACTTCCTTTCAAAATAATAACAGTAGCTACCAATAGTTTATTTTGGATGATTTAGTTTGGTTACTAACTACTATTTAGTACAAACATTGAATTAGGAAATTTTTTCTTACTACTTTCCTTCCTCTTTCTCTTCCTTTCTCCCTCTTTCTCCCCCCACCCCACCCCACATCTCTTTCTCCCTTCTCTCCATGTCTCTTTCCTCTCCCATTTCTGTATTTCTCTTCTCCCCTCCTCATTCACCTATCTCCCTGTCCTTCCACTCCGCTCCATTCCTTCTTTTCTTTATTTCAAATAAAATTCAAATGCCTACTAAAAACCAAGTGCCATTCTAACTATTCACATTCTCATGTAACCTTCACAGAATCCATGGAAATTAAAAGTATCCTATTTAGTATATGAAGTAATTGGACACAGAAAGATTAAGTAACTTCCCATGGCACAGGCAGCTGATTTGGTGTACAAAATAAGATCTCTTGGATTCCAAAGTCTATTTTTAAATGATATTATAAACACACAACATATGCTATCACATCCATGAAAATATGGCATAATTTAAGCTTCATTCACCCACCAACCGGGTATCTGAATTGGTTTCTTAGCTGAACCTAGAACATATTACATCCTTGTGAACCACTATGACACTCTATTCAATCAAAAAATATTTATTGAGCATCTGGTGTCTATACAAAGTTAATACAACTTCTAAATTATAAATTCTGTGTCAATTAAATAAAGATTTATTGATTATAAGCATTCAACTAGATATTCTTGTCCTCAATGATATCCAATAGAATGCACTCCTGGGTATTAATTCACCATCAAAATCATGTAGGCTCTAATTATGGAAAGGAAATTCAATCATTAGTTTCATCCTAGTAAAACTTTAAACCTTTTATTATTTCTAGGTCAGGGCTATATGTGGGAAGCATGGATTATACCTGACCTTGAGCCTGCTGGAAACATTGCTTAACCACCAAAACTTGGGTTACCGAGATGAAATAAAGTAAGTTGATTTTTGTTATAGACTAAACACTTGTACCATTCCTAATTATAAATTCTTGACTTCCAATGGGATTATACTAGGAGGTGGGCCCTCTGAAAGGTAATAGAATTTAGATGAGATCATTAAGGTAGAACTGGTATCTTTTCAAGAAGAGGAGACACTTCCTCTTTTGTCATAAGAGGGCATATACAGCAAGAAGGTAGGGGCCATCTAAAAACCAAGAAGAGGGTCCTCACCAAGAACTAAATCTGTTCAAATTTTGATCTTGTATTTTTCAGTCCCAAACTGTGAAAGACAAATGTATGTTTTTAAAGACTATTGTCACACAGTCTATGGTATTTTAGGAAGCTAAGACAACTTTTTATGCTCTCATTTATCTACCAGGATGCCAAACACAGAGATCTGTCTTAAGATTTCAAGTTTCATGTGTGACCTAATCAATTTCAGTCACTTGACAACCAGGTTAAAGAATGTTTGCTTTTATTAAGATCAAAGGGTTTTCTTGGTCATAGAAAAACAAAGCAGGAAATTTCTCCTTCTGGCCATTATGAATCATCAAGAATTATAATTGTCACAAAAAAGGGCAAAATATATGAAGCAATGTTTTCAGACATTGGACATCAAGAATTATAGAATGGTGATTCCTGAAAGAAGGAAAACCAATGAGAGCAGCTCAACTTATTGCACAGGAAAGGAGAAGCCAATTAGAACTCAGATGTTTCCTCGAGTTGAAGGAATAGAATTTGGAGATCAGAAAGACTGAGGATGGAATGCACACTACAGAGAAGAAGGGAGGAGGAAATAAATCCCCAGAGATATTTCTCTGGAAATTTCCAAGAATGGCCATTGAGACTTCATGAGAGTATTGAGAATGTATATATTTGAGGAAACTACCCAAGCTAAGACAGAAACACAAGATAAAGATGTAGAAAAATTTTTAGATCTCTTGCAGTGTTAGAAATAGTTCATTTTTCCAACAGTCAATGAAGAAAACCTCTTAACACATGCCACATTGAGTAGGATCCTGAGAAGGATATTGATTGTATTGAAGAGGGGCCAATTACTCCACAAATCTTAAAATCCCTAAAGAAACAAAAAAATGATCATACTTTCTTCAAACTACTTAAATATATCCAAGAAAAAAGCTCTCAAATTTTTAAAGGAATAAAATCATTTTAATACATTATGTAAACTTTACAATTTCTAGCATACATACAAAAATTATCAGAAATGAAAAGAAGCAAGAAAAGTATGACCTAATATTAAGAGAAAAGTCAATAAAAGCATGTACATTAATAAAACAGAAATGTAATTAATATAATTAATGGACAAGGATTTTTTGTTCTAATTAGTTATACATGATAGTAGAATGCACTTTGATACATCATAACTAAATGGAGTATAAATTATAATTCTTCTAGTTATACATAATGTAGAATCACACCTTTCATGTACATAGGGTAATAATTTCTGATTCATTCTATTATACCTCCTACCCCCATGCCCCATATACTTCATATATGTACTATACAAGAAATATTTTATTTTATTAAGAATGCATGAACATAATGAGAAATATGGGTGAAAGAAAAAGACACAAATGAAGCTTCTAGGTAGAAAAAATACATGTCTTCTTCCTCAAAACAAATAACAGAATAATAATAAGAAAAACATTAAACCAATCACAATACAGGGATAGCTGACCAGGGCTCCTCAAAATTGTGAGGACCATGGAAAATCTGAAAAATTGTCACTATCGAGAAGAACATAAGAAGACAGGAAGATTAAATCAAATACAGTAGCTAGGATGGAAACTAGAGAAGAAAGGACAAGTCTATAAAATCTAATATGAAAATAAAGTATAAATTTCATTTAATTGAAATGTAACAATATTGGCCCTTAATTGTACCAAAATAGGGTAAGATGTTGATGAAAAGGGAAACTGGGTGAAAGGTGAGTGATAATTTTCTGTCTTATTTTTAAATTTTTTTAGTAAATTTAAAATTGTAATAAAATAGATTATTTTAAAAATGTAATGCTTAACATTTTTCTTGATAGAAATAATAGCAAATTAAACATGGAATAAAAATAACTTGAAGACATAGAAATAAACACTATTCATAATAAAATTAATTGTGAAGAATAATGAAGGAAAAATTAACAAAGGATTACTGCAGCTTTGTGACACCATCAACAAATTTAATGTACAAAAATTCAAATCTCAGAAAGGGAAAGAGAGGGGAACAGAAAAGAATGTTGAACAATTAATAGCTGAAATTTTTTCTAAATTTGGAGAAAACTACAAAGACATGAGCCCAAGAAGTTCAATGAATCTTGAGAAAAAAGAAATCTTGAAATAAACCATCCAAAGAATCATTATAGACAAATTTCTTAAAACAATGTAAAGACAAAGTCTAAAAAGCACACTGAGACCAAAACAACACCAAATGACAAAGCTAAGAATTATAACAGATTTCTCATTAGGAACAATGTAAGAAATAAGACGGTGGAATGACATCTACACATTATTGAAAGAAAGCTATCAACTAGAATTCTCTATTCAGAAAAGTTGCATTGCATAAAACAAATATGACATAAAGACTTTGTTACATACCCAAGAAAGGAGTGAATTAATAATCTGCAGATCAACACCACAAGAAATATTTTAATAAGTTCTTCAAATGGAGCAAAAATAATTATTCTATATCTACATGAAGGAATAAAGAGAATGGAAATAGTAAATATGTGGATGAATAAAATAGTACATTTTTGTTTAATTTTTAAAAACTATTTAAAAGATAATTAGATGTTTAAAGCAAAAATAAGAACAATGTTGTATGAAGTTTATAACATAAATAAAAGTCTAATATATGATAACATCATATAAGGACAAGAGGGGAAAGTAAAAAACAAATAAAATACTGTGATGATGCTCTTATACTGTAACTGGAGTACTATAATTTTTTTTAAAGATGCTAAAAGAATACTTTAATTAATTAAAGATGCTAAAAGAATATTTTAAAATGGAAGCCTAACCACAGTCAATACACACAGAGACAAAAAGGTAACAAACAAAATAAATATGACAAATATAAAATAAATATCAATAAGATAGGATTAAAACCTAATCACATCAATAGTTACTTTTAGTATAAATGATCCAAATCTACTAATTAAAAAGCAGAGATTTTCAGATTCCATTTGTAAAGGAAGAACTAGTTAAACACTTTCTATAATAACAATTTTTGATTTAAACATATAGACAAGCTAAAAGTAAAAGGATAGAAAAAGATATAGCACACCAACTCTAAAAAAATTTGGAACAGTTATATTCATGTCAGACAAAGTAGATTCCCAGAAATCAATTGCATTCCTATATTCCAATGATGAATTAGCTGAAAGAGAAATTAGGAAAAACATCCCATTCCCAATAACCTGGGGATGGGGGGACTTGAAAATCAACCTAACAAAAGAGGTTAAGGATCTCTACAATAAAAACTACAGAACACTAATGAAAGAAATTGAGGAAGACCTTAGAAGATGGAAAGACCTCCCATATTATTGGATAGGCAGAATTAATATTGTCAAAATGGTCATACCACCAAAAGTGCTAAACAGATTCAATGCAATTCCCATCAAAATTCCAATATTCTTTATAGAAATAACAAAAGCAGTCATGAAATTCATTTGGAAAAATAAGAGGCCCATATAGCCAAAGTAATCCTTAATGAGAAAAGCAAAACAGGCAGCATCGAAGTACCAGACCTTGAATTATACTACAGACCTGTAGTAACAAAAACAGCAGGGTATTGGCACTAAAACAGGAAAGAAGACCAATGGAACAGAATAGAAGACACAGACACAAATCCATATAAATACAGTTACCTCATACTAGACAAAGGTGCCAAGAACATATTTTGGAGAAAAGGTTGCCTCTTCAACAAATGGTGCTGAGAAAGCTGGAAATACCTATGTAGTAGAATGAAATTTAATCCCCATCTCTTACCTTGCAAAAAACTCAACTCAAGTGGATCAAAATCCTAGGAACTATAGCAGAAACCCTGCACATACTAGAGGAAAATATAAGCTTAACATTCCAACTTATAGGCTGAGGAACTGACTTCCTTAAAAAAAAAAGTCCTAAAGTGCGAGAACTAAAATAAAAAATAAATAATAGGATAGCATCAAAATAAAAATCTTCTTCACAACAAAGTAAATAATCAAGAGTATGAAAAGAGAACCCACAGAATGGGTGAGAATCTTTGCCACCTGCATCTCAGATGGGGCATTAATTTCCAGGATATATAAAAACTTACACCATAATAATAATAATAATAATAACAACAACAACAACAACAACAATAACCCAAATCAGTAAATGGGCAAAGGAACTAAACAGACCCTTCTCAAAAGAAGAAATATGAATGGTCAACAAATATATGAAAAAATGTTCAACATTTCTAGCAATTAGAGAAATGAAATTAAAACTACGAGATTTCTTCTCACTCCAGAATGGAAATTATTAAGAATACAAGCAACAGTAAATGTTGGTGAGAATATGGGGAAAAGGGTACTCACATTCTCACTCATACATTGGTGGGACTACAAATTGGTGCAACCATTCTGGAAAGCAGTATGGAGATTCTTCAAAAACTAGGAATGGAATCACCATTTGACCCAGTTATCCCACTCCTCAGTATATATCCAAAGGATTTAAAATCAGCATGCTACAGTAATGCAGCCACATCAATAGTTATAGCAGCACAATTCACAAGACCTAAGCTATGGAGCCAACCTCAGTGCTCTTCAAAAGATGAATGGATACAGAAAATATGGCATATATACACAATCAGATACTACTCAATTATTAAGAAGAATGACTTTGTGACATTGGCCAGTAAGTGGATGGATCTGGAGAGTATGATGCTAAGTGAAATAAGCCAACCCCCTAAAAAAACCAAAGGTCAAATGTTTTTACTGATACATAGAAGGTACCCTAC